CACAAGCCCACGCAGTCACTGACAATGAAAAACAACGGGAGCAGCAAAAACCTCAGATCCCAGTGGCGAACAGAACAATGCAAAAGGAAATGTCCTGAGAACACAAGATCGTGGGATCAGGAAGCCACTGAAGTTCAGAGGCAGCAGTTTTACTAACAGACAGTCAAGGAAAGGTAGAATATTCTTCTTGCGTGGTAGGGGGACCAGGTTTTCTACGCTGATCTCCATGCCACACAATTTTATTTGCTTTATTAATTAGCTGCATCGGCTTTTGGATTACTTTTTTACATTTGCAATTTGGGTTTTTTTTGTTTGTTTACACTTAAATGGCAAGATATACAAGTCACCACTGGAGGCAATGGATACTGCCCTCTGCCATTTGACAGATAAATAAAAGCTTTTGTATCCATGACCCGAGTCATGTGAGTGGGGACAGAAAATAAAGATCAGACGCTTGTGAGCCCTCCTGCGTGTCATATTCTTATCATGCAGGGAAAGTATGTTACATGCCATGAAAGGGTAAAGCAACAGGTGTCCACACTACCCCTAATTCTGTGCAAATTGGACACAGCCAAATCTAGCCTTCTAAATTTACATCAGCATTACTGAGTGCATAATTGGGTTCCAGGATTTAGCTCATAAAAAGCCTCTCAATACAGTCACCTTTAGCATAAAAATAAAAAAGAAACCACATAGTGTGCACAAAATTAGGGAACTAACAACTTTTGTGAGTAGTTAAAAATGGTCAGAAAGAAAATATTTACTCTAATGGAGTTTCATCCATTAAACTATGGAAAGGAGCCTTTATGCGTTAGATTCATTTTCCTGACTCTCTTTAAAAAGAAAAACTGTAACATACATCTGTGACCTAGCAACAATATGGTTTGAAATAGTTTCCAGATCATTGAACTGTGCAATACCTTCAAAAATGGGATGACAAAAGGTCGCAGTGGGAAGTTAGTAGCTTCTTGCAGTTTGGAATGAAATTCTTCAATTGTCAAAGTAGAATTCTGTAGAAGGAAAAAAAATTCTGTCTTGGTGACATAACCAATGAAAACGCTTAACAAGAGAAATATTAGCCAAAATATTCTGTACAAAAATTTTGCTTAATACCCATGTTCCTCCTAATGCAATATCAGAAAATTATGCATTTTACATAGTAAGTAAATGTACTCATCTAAAAATATAGACGTAACTACATCTGAACACAGTTTCACTGCAGTAGGAGTGAATCATTTTACAAACAATCCATTTATTAGGTATATAAAGAGCAGCACTGAACTCTCAGATATTCATTGTTCATGGCTTGAAGCAAGGGCTTGAGCATCCAGAGTGCCAAGCATTTCTTATATGGTGATAAACACCCTCATTTCCCCTGGATTTCAAAGAGTTAAGGGTGCTTGCTGTTCAAACAAGAATTTGCCTAATCCACATAGAATAGGAGGCACCATGGCAGCACAAACACAATTGTTAAATTTAAAATGGTGCCCACTATATTTTAATTCACAGTAGAGGATTGGGAAGTAACAGGAGCATATTAACATATGTATTATAGGTGTATATAATTCACTTTTTAAAGACACTTATTCCTCATCCGTTGGCAAATATATCTCAAAATTACTAAATCACATCTAGGATTATATCGTACACTAGACAACCATACTCCACAGAATTATTTACTACTTACATTCACTTGTACCTGTGCAAACCCAAGCAAGGCAGTTCAGAGTGCAGGGAAATCACAAAGTTGTCATTGAAGGCATAATTTGAGGACAATGGGCTGCACAGGTCTAACTGAATAAGCAGTTATTCTGTTATAGGTGGTGAGGTTTAAGAAGGAAAGATCCCAGCTAGATTCCCAGAGCCCAGATGACGTTTGGCAAGTTAGAAAACAGTGCTACTTATAAACAGAGGAGCACATCTGATAAGGAAATCACTGAGAAACAATAACATGGAATCCCACAAAGCCACCCTTAGGGTTCCATTTTTCAAAGCAGAATCACATAAGTAAGCCTAAAATTGAAGCTGTAGTTACTAAGAATGGAGAACTGTCACCTTCAAGCACACATTCATCAGATGCTCATTACATTTTACAGACTTTGACTCCACTGTTGTTGCCAGTTACCTCAGCCCATGCAAGACAATTTCCCTGGCACACAGCTAATCCTACGTTTCCACTGAAGTCAATGGGAGTTTTGGGTATGCAACTAAATGCAGAGTAGGGCTCCTTGCAAGTCATAGAAGCATAACATTTAAGTTACACTGTCTAAGGTGCACTTTTAGTTCATAGTTATTGTTGGTTTGTTTATTTGTCATGGTACTGACCAGATTTTTTTAGAATTGTACAAAAACATATGTGTGACATATGTGGTCTGATATTCAGCGGTGGTAGCACTCGCAGCTCCAGATGAAGTCAGTGGCAACTCAAGTGGTAACATCTGGAAATCAGACCACGAATTTTATTTTCTAGTATATCCAAGCCCTGCTGAATGAGCTATATGGATGTACATGGGAGGCAACATTGTCAGTGGCAATAAGAAGAAACCTGGGTTCAATTTCTAGTGCTGTCACAGAATGGCAAGTGATTATGGGCAAGTCATTTAACCTCTCTACATTTTAGTTTCTCTGTCTTTAAACTGGGAAAGTTATTCGAAATGTACAGATAAACAGCATTGTAAAAAGTATTATTTCTACATACCAGGAATTCCATACAAATACCATAATAAATAACACGATATACAACTGCAATACACTGGCTTAGCACGTTAAATCCCTCTTGCAGTTGGCCTAAGTGACTACAGGTCTACGCTGGACAGGTCTACGTGAGAAAAGGTTATAAGAATACCGGCAAATCCTCCTACTGTACATTAAGCTTATATTAGCAAAAATGGTTTTTCTAGTACAGTAGAACCCCTATTTTACAAACTAATTGAAGGTTAAGGAGATCATAAAAATCAAAAAGTTCATAAAATTAAGCATCTCAAAATTACTGTAGGCATGGTACATACGTTGCAGTATGGTGTAATGCACTGCCTTCTTCTCCTCTTCTTGTCTTTCAAACCACGGCAAAGTAATTTCCAATACACTGAACACATGCTGACTTTTTCCTTCATCGACAGCACTTTTGTTATGCAATTTTTTCATCATTGGAAAAAATGGTTTGTATAACTGGCCATTCGTAAGACTGGTGTTCATAAAATCGAGCTTCTATTACAGGGGTTCTCAAACTTAATTGCCCCGCGACCCCCTCCTGACAACAAAAATTACTACACAACCCCAGGGGGAACCGAAGTCTGAGCCCACCCAAGCCCCACCGCCCCGGGCGGGGGAGGGCCAAAGCCAAAGCCTGAGCCCCTCCACCCCGGTGGGGGGAAAGAAGGGGGAAAAGCCGAAGCCAAAAGGCTTCAGCCCCAGGCAGAGGGCCTGTAACCTGAGACCCACTGCCCAGGGCTTGGGCTTTGGTCCCAGGTGGAGGGGCTTGGGCTTTGGCTTTAGCCCCAGGCCCCAGCAAGTCTAAGCCAGCCCTGGCGACCCCATTAAAATGGGGTCGCAACCCACTTTGGGGTCCCTACCCACAGTTTGAGAATCCCTGTTCTATTATATAGCTTATACAGATTTCCATGCAAAATAAGCTATACTGTCAAAAGCATTTTTATACCGGTATAACTGCTCAACATACTTTTTTTGCCAGTATAGACAGGTTTTAATTTATTCATTTATTTTAAATCACACCCCTAACTGAAATTACTATACTGGCAAAAGTTTCTAATGGAGACCTGGGTTGAAACAGACTACTACTTACTGACAGCTAGTGGATTTACTTCTATTAGCTCTAATGGCAGGGTGCAGGGAGGCAGGTTCTCCTGGTCCCAAGTTCCATACTCCCAGAATAACCACAGTGCATGCATGCATCAACTGTTCATTACACAACTACTAATAAATCTTCCAATTTTTAAAGTTAAAACCTACTATGAACAAAAAAAGATAATAGTCACTGTTATTTGCTTACCACAAGTCCTAGCACAAGGGTACGTACTCTCTCCCCAATCTCTGGTGAAATGTCATTGCCAAACTGCTGTAAGGTTGTAAGAAATCTCTTCAGTTTGCTGAGCTGCCTTGCTCCACAAGCTGGTGGTAACTGCTGATTAGCCAGAGAGGATGAAGAGGAAGATGATGGCCCATTGCTAAAGCCATTAGGTGGAGATGGAGCTCCATTTAATGCTGTTGGTGAATGGCTAGTGCCATTGGTTACTGGTTAGAAAAAAATGGAAAGAAAGAACATTTATAAGCTTAACATTTTCTGTGTTTCACCTCAAAATTGATTGCGTAACTGTGAAAATATGAAGTAGGTGATATTTTGACTCCATTGGTATAATTAAAGATAATTAGTCTTTTGATAGCATGACTCTCCACAGTTCATGTATCTTGCACAGAAGCTGGTAATAAATGGCGTATGGATCTGGACAGCACTAGCTCCCATATGCACACATGCCAGACACCTGACATGTTTTCAGACCAGAACAAACATCATTTGGAGGTCAGTCTTTTGTCATAGGCTTATATTACTGTAACATTTTTTAAAAATAAACTTCTCTGGAAAGAGTGCACACATATTTAGTGGAGGCTAAATTTATCTGAACATTTTTTATCATGTTTTGTACACACACCCGACAGCTGTGTTTATAAAAACAGGACTTTCAAGTTTTAACCTTATGCCACCCAATTAGAAGGCTATTTTCTCTCACACATATTTTGTAGCCACTAACATACAGAAAGATGGATTTGTATAAAAAGGTACAACTGGTGCAATGTTCACTGTGAATTTATTGTTAAGATTGAAGGCTTGTAGCCAAGTCTCTGGACTGGGCCTTGGGAATAGATATGGATTTTTTTTCCTGGCTCTACCTCAGAAGTCCCACGTGGCCTTAGACTTAGCCTCTTCACATCTCAGTTCTCCTTCTGTAAAACAGGTCTGACAGTACTTCCCTACTTCACAATGCTGTTGTGTGGAACATATTAAATGATTGTGAAGTGTTCTGATTTTTTAGTAATGGGGGCCATGTAAGAACCTTAGACAAATATTATTATCATATTATTATTAATGATAAAATAAGAGGCTTGAACTCACACATATTTAAGAGAGAAGGGGCACCTGCTTTAGTGTTGCTATGCTAGCCTGTCTAGTTTTGAAATTCTTGTTCTCATTCTCCAGAAATGTACCAAATTAAGGCCATCTTTTTCCCTATACTGCCCTACTCGAAAACAGTCATCCAAGCAGAGTGTAATTGCTGTGGGTTTCCTACTTTAATAGCCAGAACAGCAGAAGATGAGTTTTGGGGCAAGGGATGGTCCACATATTTTAGGGCAGATGGGCCTCAACTGGGATACCCTACCTTCTTGTGCAGATTACACTAGCATTTAAGCAACAGCCCTTAACAAAAGTTAGTACAGAACAGCTGTGCGCTGGACGAGCACAAGAGACTGTACCTGCCAGAGCACAGTCTCTGGTGAAGCTGTTCCTCACACACAGGAGTGAACAATATATTCCATCTAGTGCGGTGGAACCAGGCCATCCTTAGGCATACGCAGCATACGCGGCTGTGTAGGGCACCCGAAAATTTGGGGCACCCCCGTGTCTTAGTGGCCACCCTCCCACCTCTTCCTATCCCTGTTCTGACCCTTGCAGGCTCCCATCACAGCTGGCTGCTGCAGCCTGGTGAGTCTTCCTCTGGAGGGGATCTAGTATTTAAAAGTAAAAAAGCATCCAGCCTGCCAGACCTATTAGCACAACATTGAAACTGTTAAAGAGCCATTCAAGTGGTAATGAAGCCATTTAACAAGCACTTGCCAACCCCCAGATATATACTGTCAGTTTCTGAATTTGCTGACAAAAACAGTTGTACATTACTGTAATATTAACTCAGAACATGTTAGTCTACAGGATCTTAGTTTAAAATTTGTTTTAAAAATATTTCATTAGGGTGTTGCTGAAGATTATAAAATCACATCTAAAAAATCCTTGCATAGATTTTTATATGCACAAGCTGAGTATTCATCTTTAGTCTTAAATGCTTGGATCTTCAGACATATAGTTTTTTAAATAAATCCTTCAAAAGACCATCCTCATCTAAAATACACATGCGAGCCTGGGCTACCATTGGGCATAGGAGCACAAGTTTAATAATACTGTATAGGGCCCCATAAAACCTAAGGATGGCCCTGGGTGGCACAGACAACATGCCAGACATGCTTTATGGAACAATGTAGTGGTGGAACAGGGCCATTTGTTGATTCTTCTGCTGAGCAGGGGCCACTCATATTCCAGCCTTTAACAACAACCTTTCTTTTGCAGAATCAATGCACCCCCATAGCCACCCAAAAACTGAACAAGACCTGAATTTGGCCCATGATGTACCATAAAACATTCTTCCACAAATAACAAATGGAGAATCACCTACATGGGAGGATATAAAATTAAAAAATGACAGGTGGCTGCTCACTGAAAACACTGAACAGACAGACTGGTGACACACTGAGCTCACTACTCTCTATATCACAAACATTATTTTAACATTTTCTTAGCCATTGGCCTCTCTCAGGCAGTGCCCTATAAAAACATGCCAGCCCCTCTGTTATTTAGGCCATGTCTACACTTACAGGTAGATTGGCACTGCTGTGATCGATGCAGCAGTGTCGATTTAGCAGGTCTGGTGAAGACCCGCTAAGTCAATGGCAGAGCACTCTCCCATCGACTCTGGTATTCTAGGTACCCAAGAAGAGTAAGGTAAGTCGACCTAAGCTACATTGATTTCAGTTACGTTATTTATGTAACTGAAGTAGCGTAAATTAGGTCGATTTACTGCGGTAGTGTAAACCAGCCCTTAGTAACAGCGAGTTATCCTCTCGCATAGCCATCCCTATTTCTTGATCACAACTCTTCTTTCACCCAGTTTGAATGCTGCCAACTCTCACTAAATTTCAGCAAATTTACCACAATTCTGTGGGATTTTCAAAGTGATTTCTGTCCAAGTGGTAGATATAGCAGCAGTTCCATTTTGAGAACACTAGATTCTTAGATTCCAAGGCCATTGTTATCAGATTGACCCCCTGTATAACACAGGCCATAGTATTTCCCCCAAATAATTCCTAGCCTTTAGAAAAACATCCATTCTTGATTTAAAAATTGTCAGTGATGGAAAATCCATCCAATGGTTAATTACTCTCACTGTTAAAAATGTATGCCTTATTTCCAATCTAAATTTGTCTAGCTCCAACTTCCAGCCACTGGATTGTATTTTACCTTTTTCTGCTAGACTGAAGAGCCCATTATTAATTATTTGTTCCCCAGGTAGATATTTATAGACTGTAATCAAGTCACCCCTTAATCTTCTTTTTGATAAGCTAAATAGATCAAGCTCTTTGAGTCTATCACTATAAGGCATGTTTTCTAATCCTTGAATCATTCTTGTGGCTCTTCTCTGAGCCCTCACCAATTTATCAATATCCTTCTTGAATTGTGGACACCAGAACCAGACACAATATTCCAGCAGCAGTCGCACCAGGGCCAAATATAGATGTAAGATAACCTCTCTATTCCTACGGAAAATTCCCCCGTTTATGCATCTGTAGCGGGATGGTCACCCGTTCCTGCCCTGAGGGGTTTAAAACAGCCCTGGAGGAGGGCTGTGGAAGGGCAAGATGCCTGGGCTGATTGGGAGGAAGCCGGATCAGCTGGGGCCACGCCCCAATCAGGGCCCAGCTGGCCCTATAAAGGCTTGAGCCGGGAGTTCAAGCAGACAGAGTCTCTCTCTGACTGGAGAGGGAGACAGGCCTGGCTGCTGGGGAACTCACCTGGGGACCTAGAGTGAAGCAGGGCTAGGGAAAGGCCTTAGGAGCTGGGAAGCCCTAGGCCAGCAACTCCCCAGGCTGCAGGGCCTAGTCTTAGGCCCACCTAGGTATTGGGCTTGCAGAGGGGCAGCCTGAGGGTGGGTAAAGGCAGCCAGTCCAAACCCTTCTGCCTATGATGAGTGGCTGATACTGCAGTCTGCCCCAGTGAACGGGGACTAGATGGAGACTGGGCAGTAGCCAAAACTGAGGCGAAGTGGGGATAGTGGGTGGGGAAACCCAGAGAAAGTGGGGTACTGCCAGGGGGGCAGCACCCAAGACAAGGGCACAGGGGTCCTGGGAGGGACACGGGGGTCAACGGCAAGCGGATCACTGGCCTGCAGAGGGCGCTCCTGGGTCGAAGAGCTAATTCCTGAGGACGACCAGTAGGAGGCGCTGCAGGGGTGAGTTTGAGCTGTGTTAAAGCATCCCAAGATCATATTAGCTCTTTTAGCCACAGCATCACACTGGGAGCTCATGTTCAGTTGACTATCCACTACAACCCCCAAATCTTTTTAAGTCACTGCTTCTCTAGATCCTGCAAATAATGCCTATATTCTTTGTTCCTAGATGTATACATTTACATTCACTCATATTAAAATGCATAGTTTACTTTTGCCCAGTTTACCAACTGATCCAGATTGCTCTGTATTAGTGACCTGTACTCTTCATTTTTTACCACTCCCCCAATTTTTGTGTCATCTGCAAACTTTATTAGTGATGATTTTATGATTTCTTCCAGGTCATTGATAAAAATGTAAATAGTGTAGGATCAAGAACCGATCCCAGTGGGACTTCGCTGGAAACACACCAGCTCCATGACAATGCCCTGTTTACAATTATTTTTCAAGACCAATCAGTTAGCCAGTTTTTAATCCATGCAATGTGTGCCATGTTCACTTTATGTGGTTCTATTTTTCTAATCAAAATGTAATGTGGCACCAAGTTACTAGAGAACACGGCTCCTAGATTGGGTGGCTCCTGCAGAGCTTCAGCATAAGAACATAAGAGCGGCCATACTGGGTCAGACCAAAGGTCCATCTAGCCCAGTATCCTGTCTTCCGACAGTGGCCAGTGCCAGGTGTCCCAGAGGGAATGAACAGAACAGGTAATCATCGAGAGATCCATCCCCTGTCACCCACTCCCCATTTCTGGCAAACAGAGACTAGGGACACCATCCCTGCCCATCCTGGCTAACAGCTATTGATGGCTATTAGCCAGGATGGACACAACTCCACTGTGTGTGCTGAGTAGGGGAAGCAGTATCCAAACCTGAGAGGTCTGGCTTAGGGAAGCCCCAGACAGCAGCCACGGCAGCTCCAACCCATGCTCCTCTTAATGCTGCATTGGGGTGGGTATCTGAATTAATATAGTACATTAAATACAGTAAAGATTGTGAGGCACTCAGATACTATGGTGATGGGAGCCATATAAGTACCTTAGATAATGTAAGTGAGGATTTGGAAAGGATGGGAGTGTGTCACACTCTCCAGCAGGACACTGACCAGATGTCCTCTGCCTCCTCACTCACTGCTCTGGGCTCTATACTGAGTCCATACAGGAGGGGACAAGGGGCAGTGGACCAAGGAGAATGACTTAGAAGGCCCAGAAAAGCAAGGAGCACAGAATCTGGGGAAGGGTCAGGAGAACCAGGCAAATACTGTGTTCAGAGGAGGCAGTAGATAGGGACTGTCTGGGAAGCCTGAGGAAAGTGTCCACGGGGAACAGGAAGCAGTAGAAGAGGCCCTACCTTTGTGTGTACATTTTCCATCTGGAAATGCGCACACGCACGCACACACACACACACACACACACACACACACTGGGTAAGGACTAAGGATGGCACATTCTGAAAATAATTAAACAAACAACAAAAAAGGAAGAAATACACAATAAATAAATAACATAAATAAACACAATTTTTGTTTTAAATCTTATCTCAGTTCCATGATGGTCAAATTTGTAGGTTGGCAAAAGTCTGTGTTGTTGACAAAACAGAATTTAATATTTTCAATTTTCAACAAAACCGTGAACAAGTTAGTGATTTTTCTTCTGTAAACACCAACCGGCCCAGAAACGGATACACTTGGGCTGTGGACATTCACATATTATTGGGAAACAGACACTAGAACAGTACTGTTTGTACTGTAACTTGGCACTGTTATAGGCAGATGCCAGATCACTTGAAGATTAAAAAGCTTTAAAGTTAGAGGTAGGTTTGATATCAACAACATGAGGAAAACAAAGGAATCCCCTAAAATGCATTGATTCACATAGATTCTAGACTTATCCAACAAACACAAATTCTGCAAAGCCTACAGATACTGATTAAAGGAAAGCTATGTCCTCTTCTTCTTGTTATTGATAATAGAGTTTTATAGCATCCATAATTGTGCTTGGCATTTCACACAAGATACAAGTCACAGCTCTGATGAACTTACAATTTAATATTGCAATCCTGCAACAACTTAAAGAACATGCAGATCTTTAAGTACATGAGCAATCCCTGAGCCTACTCACATGCTTAAAGTTAAGCAGTTTTATAAGTCTTTGCAGGATCAGTGCCTATGAGTGAAATTTATGCCTGTGCAGAGGGCTAGTACAAATATTATTCACCATTTAAGTCACATGTAAATCCTCCAAATAGGGCTCCCCTGGAATTTAAGAGGTACCGAGGCCTTGCACTTGCCTTCTGCACAGGGATAAATTGCATGTGCTAAATGGTGTACCTGACAGACAAGGAGGGGGCAAGGGACAAGGGTTGCAGAAATAACATGGTGCTGTTACTGTGTGTAAGCATACATATGCCTATATGGTTCACAAGTATTTATATTAAAAAATGTCAACACACTCTTATTTTTATATTATAACAATGCAGTGTAAGAGACAAAAATATTTATTTTTAGAAATGGGGGAAAGAAAATAGAATAATGAATAATGACCCAGATAATGGACCAGATTCTGATCTCAGTTACACCGATATAAATGCAGAGTAACTCCATTGATGTCAATGCAGATTTTTTTGCATTTATATCAGGTTAACAGAGACTGGAATCTGGTCCAAGTGATTGAGGTAAGTCAAATAGTCACAGGCTAGGGATTTCCAGATTCAATGTGACTGGATCGAGATAAAAAGATATTTCAGCATCTTTAGAAAACACAGTTCTAGAATGACTGTTAATGTAATTCCTGATTAATGTTTATTAATTTATTTTCAGGAGGAAGGAGAGGGGAAAGGGCATTTATCTTTGAATATCTTTGTCTTTCCCCCTCAAAAACAGATTAATACCACTGTATTTATTCAAAAGGGAATGCGATTTCACCACACCACAACAATAAAGCTGAGAAGAAAGTCTCCATATTTCTTTTATCAGGAATTATATCATTGAAGCAAGAGTGCAGGGGAAGTTAGCACGGACTATTCTTTCACTGTGCACCCAACCGACCAATAAATTAGGACACCTCTGAACTGACTGGCTTCACAGATTAAAATGTACTAATCTGTAGTGTTCTTAGTTTTGCATAATGACTTTATTGCAGTATAATGAATTGCTGCTCTAGTCATGTCATATAGGGTTCCCTTCACATAATTTGATTTCTTACATACAGGAAGAATCAAAATCTCACATGCAAAAGAATATGGAACAAAGCAAGAAAATAAGTCTAATTACACGTTGTGGGTGTGAATGAACTGGTTCTTGGAGCTCCTTGGGTAGTGGGAGGAGGTGGCATTGTTGGAGGCGTCAGCCTGGATTGCGTCTTCACATCCACGGGTGAGTCTGGCATTGTGGAATGCTTCTCAGTGCGATCTGTAACATACCACATGAACACACTATTTTATTTCTCCAAATACATCAGTTCTGAATAAAAAGCTTAACCATGAACTAAGCAGCTTCAGCAGCTTCTGCGGAAGATAAACATATTTATCTACTTCAGCTTGTTTTTTCAAGATTACATCGTTGAAACTGCACTTAAGAAGGTGTAACACAGATAGGACCTCATTTATAAGCAGGGTCGTATTATCTTGTGTTTTTATTTCTAGCATGTGCAGATGCTACCCCAAAAACAGTATTGGAGCTGCAATAATGCCACCTCACTTGAAGGCTTTAACATTAGCCAAAAGGAGAAATTAGATGACGAGTCAGGAAGGTAATAAATCCCCTTATGACAACTCTGGAAGAACAAAAACCTGAAGCGCTTTTGTACAGGTGAGATATTGGCCATAGCCAGCGCTCTTCATGACTGGTTTTCCCTGTAGCACATGCTGCCTTCTTCATCTTTTGTCTTTGTAAGTATAACGGATATCAGGGTTAATACTGCCTGTCTCCTGCCCAGGTTTACCAGTCCGCCTCCTGGTTCTTTTTTAAATCAACAAGAAATAAATACCATATGCCATAAAGCACAAGGTATCTTTGGCAGACACAGGACTCGTGCATTTATACTAGTTTATTATTAATATCAAAAACACTGTCAGCTGTTTCAACTTATACCTTTAACATCAAGGACAACTGCAGGCATCCTCCAATTTTGGGAAATTTAAAGAAGCAAGAGGAAAAAGGACTTGACAATTCTCCTGATGCAATATATTTGCCACTGAAACTACAAGATTTAACTCTGTTTTACCAGCTTTTATACCTAAATTCAAGAGGTACATTTGGAAAAAAAAATAAAATCTTAAAATCTGTATATCAAGAATGGGCAAAACAAAGCAATACACCATTTACCTATTTAAGGCCACACTGTGATTGCCTTACTCACATCAGCAGTTCATTGAGACTCCTGGAGTAAGTAAGATGATCACATTTAGCCTTTAGTGGTCATTAGCTACTAATGTAACTTTTCCAAAGTTATTCCCCAGGAAAAACAATTGCAAAAATATTTGTTCTTGAGAAGATGAGACCTTCAAACTGTCGATAAAAACAGATACAAGATACACACAAATACATACATAAAATTATATACACACATTATATTATATATAACATGCACATATGTGTATTAAAGAGGTATTCCAGTAATATATTTTTCAATAGAAATATTTTAAAGGACCATTAGAAATAATACCAGTTCATTTAATTTAAAAAGAGCAGGTAATACCAAAGAATGTTGTGGTCCCAATCCCTTACTACTAAGAAACTACAGAAATATGACATGGCCACATATTCTGCAAAGTTTTGGAGTTGCAGAAGCTATATTCAACATTTTCTTTCTCTTTTTGAAAAAAGACCAGTTTCTATAAGGAGAGTTGTTAGTTTTTTTCAGACTTTAGAAATAAAAAACCCTAAGAATGAGAAAATAAAACCATATGAGTGGAAGGGAATATACTTTGTAATCATAGCAGTAAAGAATCTGCAGTGTTGATCTAAGGTCAATAATCTCAGTAGTGTAGTAAACAGTGTCCAAAAAGACTGGCTGAAATTGTAAGGCATCTACACAGCCAGGTGAAGTGTGGTAACTCAAATAATGGGAGCAATTATGTTTTCCATACAAATCTCTCTCTGTATTGCTATGCTGAAACATTTAAACCAACAACTGCAACAAATCATTTATTTAAAATAAAGAACTTTGGAAATTAGCCTCAAAATGTTAATTACTTCCTTAATAGTTTAATTTATCTCACACTCACCTCAACCAACCTCAGCAACAAGGGAATAAATAGCTTTCAACTCATGTTGCAGCTGAGGGAAAGAGGCACAGCACTGAGTAGAGGCCCTCCTAAATAAAGGCAAATATTTCTCCCATGCCAAGAAAGGAGAGAGAAAGGGAGGCTTGCCAGAGCTGGCTGGGAGATAACAGTGGGAACTGCTGGTCCATCTGGTTTTCATTCTGCTAACACTCACATTGAACTGTTAGAGAAGGCAGTCCAGGTACACAGATTTGAAGCATGTGGGAGCACAGACACAGCCAGGGAGAAGATGGAGGTGGGTGGAGGAAAGAGAGAGAGAAGTCAGAACTCCACTAGCAGTTTGCTGTTCACACTGAGCAGGCACAATCTATATCCTCCCGTTCAACTGTTGATAACTAAAAGCAATTCTGCTATCATGAACAATCACAACTTCTTCCTTCCTCCCCGCAAGTCCACTTAGCTTTTGATCTGGCCTGAATTTTGGAACAATCCCTACTCGGAGGGAAAATGAGCACATTTAAGAAACAGACTAGAATGGTTTATATTTTGTTATTTAAATGGACCATGTAGTTGCACTAGTGTATTGTTTTTGTGCTCCAGTTTCAGATTTTCAATATATTATAACCTGTTCATGTAACGATCCAGGATTTCTTTTTAAATGATTTTTATTCATTAATTTATTATGTCCTTAAGCATGTAGGTTTATCTTTAATTACAGTAGTAAGTATAACTATTGTTACCCAGAAATGCATTAGCACCACCTCCTGTTAGGGTGACCACCTTTTCAAAAGGCAAAAGGGAGACACATGCAGGAGCCCCGCTCCTCTCTGTGGCCCCAGCTCTGCCCCCTCCTCCTCTGAGGCACCACCCCTGCTTCTCCTCATCCCCCCGAAGCCCTGCACCCTGGCCAGGCTGGAAGCCAGAGCAAGGCCATGGTAAGAGCTGCCTAGGGAGCCTGGGCTGCTGTGGGGAGCCCTGGACCCTCCACCTGCCCTGGGCGGGGGGGGGGAGGTAAATGGCAAGAGCAACCCCCAGCCCATGTCCCCATCCCCTGGGGCAGACCACCCAGGACAGGTGGAGGGTCCAGGATTCCCCACAGCAGGGCCTTGGAGGGAAGAGGAGGAGCAGGGGGCAGGGTCTTGTGATGAGGGGGGCTAAGGCCCACCTCAGCCTCCCACCATGAAAAGGCTGGTGCCATCCCTGAGCCTCAGGCAGATGTGGAGTGCGCTGCAGGGAATCTGGGTCAAATGCTGTCCCAGAGTCATTGGGGAGTGGGACTTGAACTCTGCATTTTGGGACTGTCCCGCCCAATTCTAACAATGCCACACCTGGCAGACTCGAGGCTGCATGCTCTCCTGAAAAGGGTAGGGTTTGCAGTGCCAGAAAGGAAACAGACTGCAAAGCTTGCTCTTCTGCCTGGAAGGCACAGAACAGCCACACAGATATTGAGCCATCCCAGGAGGATGGCCTTCTCCTCTGTACTTGTGTTGGGGACAGGAAGACAGGATACTGGGCTAAATGGATCTTTGGTCTGACCCACTAGGGCCATTCTTATGTTCTCATGTTCCTCCTCCGGCACAAAAGCTCCTCCTGCTGCTGCCACCATTAACTCTCCACCCTTTCCCTGAGCTGTAGATTCCCAGACATGTGCATACAGCAGTGCTTCCCAATTCTACTTACCCACCCACAAACTTGCAGAGCCCTGACTACTCTGATTTCAAACACAGGGGCTCCTCAAAGAAGATAAAGGAGTAGAGGGGTGAAGAAGAATTCTGAAGTGTCACCGCTTATACACACTATTACAAATAGTAATAGGGAGGGATAGCTCAGTGGTTTGAGCATTGGCCTGCTAAACCTAGGATTGTGAGTTCAATTCTTGAGGGGGCCAATTAGGGTTCTGGGGCAAAATCAGTACTTGGTTCTGCTAGTGAAGGCAGGGGGCTGGATTCAATGACCTGTGAGGGTCCCTTCCAGCTCTATGAGATAGGGATATCTCCATATATTATTTATAATTATAAATTCTTGATATTCTAATTGTGACCCTTGTAATATTTGTTGTTTTTTTAAAGCCCCAGGTTCTGGAGTCATGTGATTATTACATGAAAAATCTTTTCTTTTCTTTTTTAAAATGGAAATTGAAACAGTGTTCACCCTCATAGTTGCAAAGAAAAGCCTAAAAATGTGAACCCTCAAGACTCAAAAATCTAAAGACAAATAAAAAGGAGCCAACATTTATTATTGTTAAAATCTCATTTTTGGGGGCTCATGTTTTTTGGATGCTTGGGGTTTGTAATACTGCCCATACAGTCTTCACACAAGTCCCATGTGGATTTTTTCATCTCTGTACATATAAAGGGGAGGGAGAGCATCCACTCCGAAGCCTAAAGAGGAAGTAGGGTTGCCAGGCATCTGGTTTTCGACTAGAACTCCTGGTCGAAAGGGGACCCTGGCAGCTCCGGTCGGTACCACTGACCGGGACATTTAAAGTCCGTTCGGCAGTGCTGCGGGTCTAAGGCAGGCTAGTCCCTACCTGTCCTGGCATCGTGCTGCACCCCGGAAGCGGCCAGCGTGCACTGCCCCCGCCCTGAGCACCGGCTCCACACTCCCAATGGCCGGGAACCGCAGCTAATGGGAGCTGGGGGGTAGGGGGGTGCGTGTGGGTGAGAGCAGCGCACAGAGCCTTCTGCTTTGCCCCCCCCCCCACCTAGAAGCCGGACCTGCTGGCCGCTTCCAGGGTGCAGCGTGGAGCCAGGACAGGCAGGGGGCCTGCCTTACCCTTGCTGCGCCGCTGACCGGGAGCCGCCCGAGGAAAGCCTGCGCCCCAACCCGAGTCCCAACCCCTTGCCCCAAATCTGAGCCCCCCCAAACCCAGAGCCCCCTCCTGCACCTGTAACCCCTCATCCCCAGCCCCACCCGAGAGCCCGCACCCCCAGCCTAGAGCTCATACCCCCTCCTGCACCCCAACCCCTGCCCCAGACCAGTGAAAGTGAGTGAGGGTGGGGAGAGTAAGCCACCAAGGAAGGGGAAATGTAGTGGGTGGGAGCGGGACCTCGGGGCAGGGGCAGGGCCTTGGGGAAGGGGCGGAGCTAGGGTGTTCGCTTTTGTGCAGTTAGAAATTTGGCAACCATAAGAGGAAGACATATTCACATCTATGTTGGTTTACAGGGATTCATGTACATTTGC